GGAATGTGCGTGTATCTGTTTAGTATAAAATGTGCACATGGTGTGGGCAATTATTGTGCCAATGATAAAGAAATTGGAATTTAATGTATAATATACAAACGATATCAATTACGCATATCAAATATTTCAAAAGTTAAATTGAGACATCTCATAAGTGGGAAATGGGCGCGTTTTAAAGCGTCGGTAAGCTTTTTGTCAAGTGAAAGGATTTAAAATCCACATGCCGGTCGCTTACCTGACGTATCCGTTCAGTATCTGTACATAATAATCCAGCAATGATTTCATCTAGGATAATATCCATGTTTAATGCCTTTAATGTCGTATTTTAAATCAATAGGTTTCGCACAGCGATAATCCAAAGAGCACAGCACGTCTTCTATATGCCGCCGAGGCACAAACACGAAACCACTTTGGCGATATTGCAAAAATTAAAGACCTGGTAGACCAGGGCAGTAAAGCACGCCAACACCACGTTTTAAAACTGGCAGGGATACAATAATTATAGTACAATTTCTTATGTTTGAAGATTTTCACATTTAACGAAATTTTCGAATTTGGATATTACATAAAATTTAACCAGCTTGCTTTCTTTATAAAATCATATTAAACTTTTAACGTAACATAATTTTGATATGACTTCAGAAATATCGATACGTAAAAAGAATCGCAAAGTGTGCCCAGCTTGTAACATAACAGGAGCGTCGTGAGGCATGAGCACCATTTTGAACGCCAACGTCGCGCGTTTTCTTATTACAATTTATTTTTCTGTTTTGTGTTTTTATAGTCGTGCCTTAAATGGATAAAACTGCAAGAAACCATAGCGACGGCAGTCAAAGAGATAATAATTCATTAGGCATATTAACTTTGGATAATCTGAGAGGTAAATGTTTAAAGGACCTGGCGTCTTATCTGTATGCATGATTTCCAAATCCTTTATCTTACGTACCCATTTATAATTAGTTTTTGGAGACATGTCAAGTTTAAGCAAAACCGGCAGTGCAAATACAAGCAGGGAATCATTAAATGTTCACGAGCGACTCAAGGTATGGTCAGTAATATAAATAATAATCAATTAATACACGCCTTGATTTGCTATAGGCGGGAAGGCTTAAGGCCTTGGAAACTTTGGGAAAGCCACGACCACGCTCTAGTTATGCATTTGAAGAGCACGATAATAACGAAGGAAACAAGTTTAAACGTGAGAAGAGGCGCTTATTAATATAACACAAATAACATCAACATAATTTTGTAGCCGGTAATCGTGTGAGTATTGCGTCCAGCCGCCAAAGCAACAACACGAACATTTCCGATCTAATCACTGAGGAAACTATCGACCTAAATTCGAGTGGCTCCGTTCTGATGACGACGCCTGCACCTACTGGCACAAATATCTTCTTTGAGCCTGGCGAGATAACAGGACGTTCGACATTATGCAAAAGCGGTAAAAATGACTCAAAGCCTGGCAGTCAAATCTCTGTGGCTGATATACTAAGATCCTCTTTTGTGGAGAAAGCGCGTGTACAATTCGCAAAGCAGCTGGAGAAAGTGCCAGTTTCTGAAAGTACAAACCATAGCACTTTGAGTGATTCGTTTAGTTGCTCTCGCAGTTTGCCACGCACTGCAGATATGAGCAATTCGAGCCTTAATGGTGGTTCGGGTATATCCTTTGGCTCTGCGGGTGGTCAAGGATATGATGAAAGCTTTGCTCCAGCAGAAATGATGCAGTCACAGCTAGTGATGGGCGAAATATCATGGGCTCAGGAATTTGCCGTTGTACCAACGGCCACCCTCAGCAAGCAAGCATTGGAAAAGATTGCAGCTCCGACCAAGCCGTCGGAAATTGATAACTTAGTGTCCAAGTAAGTTGAATGATGTATTGATAAAGATTATTTACGAAAAAATTTTGTATTTTGCAGCTCTATAATTGCCGGAGATCCTAATTTCTCGCTAGGCAATTATTTTCAATTGCGCTCAGAAAATTTGTCATTTATCGTGGGTCGCTCTAGCCGAGGTGGGGATCCCCAAGTTGAGCAAAATATAACAGTAAGTAGCGCTGGTGTGAAAACGCCACAAGTGGAAAATAAAACTTACACGAAGATCGAAAGCAACGCCAAGCTCGAACGCAATATTATGAACAAAATGCAACAGGATACTTTTAATAAGGCCGTGCAGGCGGAAACAAAGAAAAAGCCTAGTAGCTCGGAGTTATTTAGCTTGTCCGCAATTGATGCCGCTTTACGTAAGTTTGAGAGAAACAGTGTTTTGTCTTACCTAACGAAAAACCTATTTTACAGGCAATCTGGACGTGAATTCAGATACATCTGTAGGTGAGGTTGTAAACAGGCTGCGTACACGTGGCTATGACTACGAACTTGATGATGAGGATAAAGAAAATACACTGTGCACATCGAGATCCCGATCAAAGTTTTCAGACACTATGAGCTTTACAGATTCGCTATTGAATTCAAGTGACTTTCAGCAGTTGCAAAAGAGCTTGGCATCAACAACGGATCGACAGCCATTAAGTCCGCTGGCGGACTATATGCCAAGCCAACCTAGTATAATAATTACAGCTAGTGAGGATCATGATGCAGACATAGATGAATGGCCATCGACACCAGTGAAGTCGCCGGGACGTCGTGTGCGCCACACAAAATCACCGAATAAACAACGAGGTGTGAGCCCAACAAGCAGCGATGGTGTTAAACCATTGCCCACCTCAGATGAAGATGGGGATATAGACGAGGATAAGACACCGGTCAACAAAACACGTAATAATACTCTGCCTGTTGTACGCATTCAAAATTCATTCTGCTCCACACGTGTTGATGGCTGCGATGTTGTGCCATCTTCATCCGAATGTGACTTTGGCATCTCTCCGAATCTGGCTTACAGTGTTTCTGTTTCTAATTTGCAACACGTTTCGCCGTTGACGTCGCCACGCAGCTGCTTGTCCTCACCTCTACTGGACAGCACAACAAGCTCTGAACGTCGTCTTTTAACCGGTACTAGCTTAGCACGCAGAGTTAATACCTCTCCGGCACCCAGTGAGGCGAGCTCCACAAGTGGATTTAATGCAATGCGAAAAGTGGGCGGCGGTACACAGCTGAATGTAGCACCACGCAGTATGTCGCGTTGTTCCAACTCAAGCGAGTTCAGTCATCGCGATGGCAAATTGCTGCCCTTGAAGGTGACCCACACAAGCCTCTGTTGGGGCAGCACGAAGCTACGTACAGATGTGCGCAAATCAATGCAAATTAAGAATACAAGTGACAAACGGCTGGTGGTTCGCCTGTGCATACAAGGACCTGGCTTTCAGTTGGTCAGCGGTGATAGCAATGCCATCACATTACAATCCATGGAATGCCGCAGCATTGGCATTAACTTTTGTCCGACGGTCAGCGGTGCAGCCATTGGAGCACTCAAGTTCTATGCTCCGTTCGGTGCCAACAATTGTCAGCAGCCAGGCTTGGAAATACCTCTTTTTGGTTATGGAGGTAACGCCGCGATTACTATACAAGGATTACTAAAAGGACCTGTTGGCGCCAGCTTTCTAACCATTGGCAATGTATGCGAGCTGTCTTCGGGTCCCCTGATGGCTAGCTTTAAGTTCTACAACAAGGGACCGCTACCAGCCTTTGCAGGCATCGCAATCGATTCGACGATGTTCTTAAAACCACGTCTGAATGCCGCCTTTGAGGTTCGTCCTAGCAAAGTTATACTTCCTCCTCACAGCGAGACTGTGGTGCAGGTTGTATTCCGACCAAATCGGGACGACATTAAGAACATTCTCAAGAAGACGTCGCAAGTGCTCACGTTGGCTAATATGCGTGTTTTTTGTGGTGATGAACCTAATCGACAGCGTATGCGAGCCTTGGTGCAGCGCATGACGGCCGAACAGCGTGAGCAATTAACCTCATCCATGCTGGACAACATCTTGTGCAACTTTCCAAGTGAACAGCCTATACGTAGCATAGCCATGCTAAATGAGCCTCCAGAATTTATACTTGACTTGGTTACTGTGGTTCGCATTATAGATGTGGCAATAACTTTAAATCGTGATTTCGATGAATCGGCTGAAACATCACATCTTTGTTTGCCGGATGCCGAGGAGACCATTCTATTTCGCACTGTTTGTGCAGCCAATTCTCCAACGCCCAGCCACATGCTGGATCCCGTTGATGAATTACACGAGGTGGATACGACTTCAGCCATGGAACCGCAATCGCTGGAGCGCAACTGGTCTGTGCAACCTGCTACCATAGAGATTGACTTGTCCAACAGCGGCGGCTTGGACGGAACTAAGCTATTCATCAAAAACAACTTCAGCTCTCGGCAATATATTGAATTGAATTGCAATGTTCCAGACATTCTGCACATTTCTCCAAGTGAATGTTATGTAGCTCCAGATGGTGGCCATGTGGAAGTTCTTGTACGACCATTGCGCACACCGAGCCGGGAAATACTTAACAAACAAATGCAAGTCGTTGTCGAAGTATCGATGGAGAGTGAACGTATTAATGTGCCCGTTACTTTTAAAATCTAAATTTATATCAATTGTTTTTAGTGCAGTTCTCAGTTAGCGCCTTGGTATGACATACATATGTTAATTTTAGTTTTGAGATATATTGTATTTTCCTGTCATTTAAATGGACCAACTCGTTCATTATAAATAAAGAATATAATATTGTAGCAAGAATTACATATGACGGACTATCAAACGGCTCGCAGAAACGAATTTCTATACGAATAAGGTTCGCGTTAATA